AACTTTGTATTGTTTTTGCAACTAATTTCATAAATGTGACATTAATTAAAAAACTTAAAAGCCCGGAGTGGTGGCACACATCTTTAGTCCTAGCACTTGGGAGGGAGAGGCAGAGTTTAGGGTCCTCCTGGTCTACACAGTGAGTTGCAGAATAGCCAGGACTCCATTGAAAAACTCAAAAAAAGTTTTTTTTAGTGCATATGTATGTGTTCATGTGGAGGGGTGAGGTACATGTGTGTATATCTGCTGCATGTGGAGAGCCCTGGGTGAGCTCCTCACAAATGCTGTATATCTTCGAGTCATGGTTTGTTTCCTTTTTTCTTTTCCTCCCTTCCTTCCTTCCTTCCTTCCTTCCTTCCTTCCTTCCTCCCTCCCTCCCTCCCTCCCTCTCTCTCTCTCTCTCTCTCTTTCTCTCTCTCTGTCTCTCCCCCCCCCCCCTCTGGTTTTTCAAAAGGGTTTCTCTGTATAAACAGTAGTGGCTGTCCTGGAACTCACTTTGTAGACCAGGCTAGCCTTGGACTCACAGAGATCAGTCTGCCTCTGCCTCCCAGGTTTTGGAATTAAAGGTGTGTGCCACCCCCCCACTCCCCACATGGTTTCTTACTGGCCTGGAGCTCACCACTTAGGCTAGACTGGCTGAGTAGTGGGCATGTCTCTTGTCTCCTCGGCACTGGAGTCACAAGCACATGCCACATGCCTGGTTACAGAGGATTGCTTAGGTCTTCATGCTTGTGAAGAAAGCACTTTCCCAACTGAGCTAACTCCCTAGCCCACAAACATTAAAAAGCTACTTATCATCCTGTCAATAGGTATAAAGAGATCTTTTGATGAAATTCAATATCCATTCATTAGAAACATCCGAGTCCACAGGCAGCGGGAAGAGAGAGCCACTAGGCCTAGCTTAGGCTTCTGAAACCTCAAAGCCCACGCCAGTGATACACTTTCTTTCTTTCTTTTTTCTTTTTTGTTTTTCGAGACAGGGTTTCTCTGTATAGCATTGCACCTTTCCTGGATCTTGCTCTGTAGACCAGGCTGGCCTCGAACTCACAAAGATCGGCCTGCCTCTGCCTCCCAAGTGCTGGGATTAAAGGCGTGTGCCACCACCGCCCAGCGTGATACACTTTCTTTAATGGCCACACCTACCCCAACAACGCCACACACACAAAAAAAAGAATTATGGTTTAAGTGTAAGAACTAGTTAGTAATAAGCCTGAGCTACCCAGCCAAGCATTTATAATTAATATAATCCTCTGAGTGATTATTTGGAAGTGGCTGCAGGACAGGGCAGGACACAGAAGCTTCCACCTATAGGGAGGAATACATCTGAGAGATCTATTGCACATAATGGTGGTTACAGTTAATGACAATATCTTCTATATTTGAAAATTCCTAAAACACATTTCTAATCTCCCTATAAAAAATAAAATGAGTGATTTATATGTTAAAAAAAAGAAATTCAATACCCATTCATTAGAAACATCCGAGTTCACAGGCAGCAGGAAGAGAGAGCCACTAGGCCTAGCTTAGGCTTCTGAAACCTCAAAACCCACCCCAGTGTTACACTTCCTTTAATGGCCACACCTACCCCAATAAGGCCACACCTCCTAATTCTTCTAAGTAGTGCCACTCTCTTAGCATTCAAATATATGAGCTTATGGGTGGAGGGGATTCTTTTCAAACAACCACAAAATCCAAGGCAAAAAAAAAAAATTCAAAATTAAAAGTATAGTGGAAATTTGCTTTTAAGGTTTGGGCATTAGACTAGGGTACTACTGTTATCACACTTACTAACGTTATTTTAGAGGCACCAACCAGTGTGCTAAAATACAGAAAAGATACGTAGAGATTAGAAAGAATGAAATAAAACATTGTTTATAAATGAGATGATGGCTTATATATTGACTTCTTCTCCAAAAATTATGAGAATTAATGAGAGAGTTTAGCATGGTAGGTGGATATAAGACAAACATGAAAATCAATTGGGTTTCTGGAATGGAACACCCAATAATAAAAGAATTCACTGTTTACAAAATTAATATGATATCAGCATATAGTAGTAAATCTGGCTGAATTTCCTTCATTGAGCTGCATTCTTTTAAAAGATTTATATTTTATTTTATATATATGAGTTTTGCCTGCATGTATGTCTGCATGTGTATCTTCTCACCGTGTGCATGAAGTGCCCGCAGAGACCAGAAGAGGGCATTGGATTCCCTGGAACTGGAATTACTCACGGTTGAGTTGCCGTGAGTGTGGAACTTTGGTTCCCTGCAAGAGCAGCCAGTTCTCTTAACCACTGAGCCATCTTTCCAGCCTGAGCTGTAGAGTTTTGATCCCGTTTCATCTCCTCAGTCTAGAAGTGTTCTCTTGTCCAGGATTCAGAGTCTAGTCCCATGACATTTACGCTGAATGTCCTGGGAATATGATTCACTGAGGGTCTAAGCACCAAGCTACTGAAACTACAGAGATCTTATTTATTATTTATTTATTTATTTGTTTTATTTATTTATTTATTTATTTATTTATTTATTTATTTATTTATTTATTTATTTTCAGAGCTGAGAACCGAACCCAAGGCTTTGTGCTTGCTAGGCAAGCGCTCTACCACTGAGCTAAATCCCCCAGAGATCTTTTTAAATCAGGCTCTTGCTGATGCTCTGCTTAAATGCTGAGAGCAGAGAGTTTTCCTGGAATATCTCTTCTTTCTCTGCTGTTGCCATGTATAACTTTTGTTCCCTTCCTCTCTTTTTTCCTCTTTAAGGTCTCTGTTACTGAGAGCACGCTGTCTATCTTCAGAGGCTTTTTGTCTTAAACATGGCTCTGTGAGGAGGGAGCTTCCCAGGCCACACTAATGCCCCTGGGATAGACTGCACTTGTTTAGTTTTGCTGTTGTACTAGAGATTTTCAGCCATCGCTTAACTCTCCTCATGGCTGTTCTCTGTCTTCCTCCAGTTTACTCCCTGGAGAGTCTAGCCAATTGTTTTCTGAGTAGTTCTGTTTTCTTTTCTGTGTATAAGTTTTCAGGAACGTTCCTTCCTTTCCCAACCCGCCCCCCCCCATCCATCCCAGCCATTTATGGTTCTGGGGATAGAGCCCAGAGCCACCCGAGTGCTAGGTCAACAGTTTACTGAGTGCGATCTAACTCTGTCCTCAGTTTACATTCTGTGCTGAGTGTTTGTTACCGTCTGTCTCTAGGTCAATCAGTAACTCTTGCTGTGTTGAGATTGTGATGTGATTGTCCCTGTGTCCTTGCTTAGCACCTGGTGTAGCATCCGTCACTTAGTAGAAGTAGATGAGTAGTGAGTAATGAGTGAGTAAATAATTAGGTGTTGGTGTAGCAGATGGAGTAGATGCAGATGAGCATGTTAATGGGAGAAAAAAATCACAAATTAGTTTAAAAACTCTTGATTTCTAAAAAACAACAAAATATATTTGGGTAGCATCTTCTTTTAGTCATAAATCTGTCATGTATATGAACATACCTCCCTTTCCTTCAGGAGAATTTAAATTTGATCAGCAAAGCTCATTAGTCCATATTTTTAAATAATTTATTTATTTAATTAGTTAGTTTGCATGGAGGTGGTGGTTCCTGTGTAAAATTCAGAAGACAACTTGTGTGAGCTGCTTCTTTCCTTATACCATGTAAGTCCTGGAGTTACAGCTCAGGCCATCAGGCTTGCAAGCAAATTCCTTGACCTGCTGAGTCATCTTGTGGGTTCAGCTAGTGCTTCTAAAATATGTGTATCTTATTGTATGTAAAGTTGTAAAGTCTGTCTCAACAAAATTAAAAATAGGGTCTGGAGAATTGGCTCAGTGGCTAAGAGTACATTTTGCATAAAGGTCCTAGGTTTGAGTCCAGGGGATCCACTCTGTGGGTACCAGGAACTCATATGGTGCACAGTAAAATAGTCATCTACATAAAATAAAATAATCTTAAAATTAAAATAAACATTGAGAGAGGAAGATTAAAATCAATTAAATGGTATTAAGACTGAATAATGAAATGGCTGTTCTTACAATTGAAATTCTAATCAGTGAGGCAGTCAGTCTCTGCAGACTTAGCTTCTTTTCAGGAATTTTTGTGCACACTATGCATAGTATTTTCTGTAAACTATCTTATGTTGTGATATATAAATACATATAAAACATTACTTAATTTCTATAAATATGTAGCTTATTTTTTCTTAGATTAGACCAAAAAATAAAGGTCGATATTGTTAGGCAATAGAAACTATTATCATCTCCAAAAATTTCATCCTGTTCCCAGTCTGTAGCCAGGCTCCCATTTTCCATTATTTTTTAATTCTTCCATAGTCCTGAACCTATCTAGTTGGCTACTCAATCTCTAGTCTAAGCCTATCTTTTCCAGCTGTCAGGACAACAGTCCTTCACCAACAAGCCCCTAAGCACAGCACTTGGAAATACCCTACACGCGCCCTAACAGACTCTCCCGAACCTGCCCCTCACCATTTAAGTTTAGGATGCTGTCCTTAGTGCTTCCAAGATGCTATAAAGTGGTCACACCTCTCTTCCCAACCAAATTCCACACAGCATAGCAACCACACATACACAAAGATTCTTCCTCCCCTAATTCTCATTGAAGCATGTGTTCCATAGGGAGTGACACCACTTGAAAAGGGTTAGGAGGGTGGCCTTGTTGAGAAAGTGTGTCACTGGGGTCTCAAAAGCTCATGCTGACCCAGTGGCACTCTCTTCCTGCTGCTGCAGATCCAGATGTGGAACTCTCAGCTATTTCTTCAGCACCATGTCTGCCTGTGTGCCACCATGCCTCCTGCCATGATGATAATGGACTCTGAAACTATAAGCAAGTCCTAATTAAATGCTTTATTTTATGAGTTGATACTCCCTGGTGACTAAGCATTCAAATTTATGAGCCTATGGGGACCATTCTTATTCAAACCACCATAGCAGTTGTTTTCACAGTTGTGATTACCAGCAAAATATGATGCCTTCCTTTGTCCATGTTTTGTGTTTCTTAGATTCCAATGTAGTTGCCAGTGTTATACTTCAGGACTTACTGGGATATGTGTCTTCAAAACATTCCTATCTCAAAGATCTGCCTCAGAGGCAGCATCAGAAAATGAACACTGTAGAGTTTGTGGAATTGGAGCAGCTGCAGCCTGATACATTAGTCCATGCCATACTCAGAGTAGTGGATGTCACTGTATTGACAGGTAAATATTTTTTTTAAGTTTTTTTTTTCATTTTACATACCAACCACAGTTGTCCCTCCCTCCCTTCTTCCTGTCCCACCCCCCATTTCCTCCAATCCCATCCACTCCTCAGAGAGGGTAAGGTCTCCCATGGGGAGTCAGCAAAGTCTCGCATATCAAGTTGAGGCAGGACTAAGCCCCTTCCCTGCTTGACAGGTAAATATTTTGAGTGCCTCTTTAATTTTAGCTTATAAAAAGCTATACAAGACCATCTTAATGCTTTAGTTGATTACCACTATGTATTTACCGTGAGATATTTTGTTGTCACCCAAGCCGGGTAATACCAGCTACAGTGTTCCTCTTCCTTTTCCAGAGGCAGTGTATAGTTATAGAGGACAGAAGCAAAGGAAAGTTCTGTTAACTGTGGAACAGGCTCAAGGTCAACATTATGTGCTTGTATTGTGGGGTCCAGGAGCAGCCTGGTATACTCAGCTTCAAAGGAAAAAAGGTAAATACACTGGAAAAAAGGAAAGCATTTAACCTATTTATCCTTGGTAAATGATTAATGTTTGTTTATCTCAGGTGCAGAGACTTTGAAGAGATGATGGCATTTGAAATAATAGTGATTGAATGCTCCTCTGCAAATTTCTAGTGCTATAATTTTATACTTATAGTAATTTAGTTATCTAGAAGTCCTTTGTAATTAAGGATGACAAAATAAAGGCTTGAATGTTTTCATACCTACTACATGAGGACATTAGTAAAAACTTTATCTCATTCAAATAATGTTGTTTAAAAAAAGATTTTATTATTCTTAAATTGTGTGTGTCTGTCTGTCTGTGTGTCTGTCTGTGGATATTTGCATGTGAGTACAGGTGCCTGTGGAATCCAGAAAAGGGCATCAGATTTCCTAGAGTTGGAGTTACAGCTGCCTAATGTAGGTGTTGGGAACATTTGGTCTTTTGCAATTGTAATGCATGCTTTTAACTGCTGAGCCATCTTTCTAGCCCCTCAGAGATGTTCTTTAAATTTTTAATTCTGGAAAAGTATCTGCAGTTTGTTTTTTTCAGCCAGAGTGCTCTTATAAATAAGTTCCTTTCTGTCACAAGGCAGATATTAGGGGAATTATATTAAGTCTTTTAAGTCACAATTCCTATTGAATTAATTGCTATGTTCTGGGTTTTTATTCCAGTTAAAAATGTGGGCTCTTAGCTATTATAGAATGCTTGCTTAAAAAATATGATCCAGTGGTACATTATTTAAAAGCACAAGTTAATAATTCATGGTGTATTAAATTAAAAGGGATGTTTCAAAAATTAGTACAGTATCTTCCTTCACTACTGAGAAATTCTGATTTTTACCACCAGAGAGTTTAGTGGTTTTTGAGTTACCTTACTTTCAAAATAATTAGATGTTAATCAACTGATTCATTATTTCATACTTGAATGAGTTAATGTTGCATTCCAAACTTCTGTCTTTCAAGTGCTTATCTGGAGGTAGGATCTGTCACATTGTCTCTTAATCATTAATAGCCCGTAACTAGGATTTGAGATAAGTCTGACTTTTATGTTAGGATCAAATAGTAACAGATGTTTGTCCAGTTGTGAAATGTGACAAACATATCAATGACAGACATGATCACTGACCATCCCGTCTCAGCCATGAACACGAGTCCAGTGCATGCTAAACAAAATGTAGGTCAGAGGTAGAGTGGTATTGAGGCAGAACACATCACTCCTTTCTTAGTGTGACTGGTGTTTAGTTAAGAATTTTGTAGTAACAGAAGAGGAATTGTTGGTATCTCTAGATAATTCTATGGCTTTTTAGTTAATACTGAAAACTTATGAATCCAGGAATTATGATATAAGTTGCTCTTGCTGAATTCACTAATTATACCTAAATTTATGTATATCCTCATCATTTTAAAGTTTTAACATCTGCATCAATACCTCAAGACAATTCCTTTTAATAGAAAAATTACAGTTTTGAAGGCTCATTTAATTAAGTGATTGTACTTTCAGAAACTATTAGTCTTCTTTTTATCTGTTTAGCAGTTCTTGCAGTCATCTCCATATCAGCCTCTGTAGTAGGCACTGGCTTTCACATACTCTTAAGGAGAACAAACTTAGCTCATAGAATCAGAAATGATCACCAAGTAGTCATTATTCAATAATAATGATAATGGAATTGATGTTTTGGGGAAGAACAGTAAGAAATCTCAACTTTACATTCCTTTGAAATACGAGTTGCTAGCAGGAAGCTGGCATGCTTTGTATGCAGCATGCATTGGTCACAGCTTAGATTCTAATGAGGGTACACTAGCAACATAAATTATACTTAAGAGTAATTGGGACTGCCTAGTGGTACATGCTTGTAATTTCAGCACTTGGGAGATAGAGGCACAAGGATCAGGAGTTCAAGGCTATATTTGGCTACATAGGTATTTAGAGGCCAGCCTGGGCTACATGAGACCCTATCACAAACAAAAGAATAATTAGGTAAGCCTGAAATAATCTATACAGAATCAAATGCCATTTTCATGCAATTGTTTAAAAAAGCAGTCTACCATTTCAAATACATAATGAATTATGATAAAGTACTCTCATAATATAGCTAATTAAGCAGAGTAATGCAAATAACCCCAATTTATGATTGTATATTATCCAAAGTCACTGTTATGTCTACATGGACATTTGTAATCCAAATACATCCTAAGTCCACAGTTGAGATGTGGAAATACATCAGAGCTTGTCTACTGTAACTTCCTCAGGTTTGCCATAATCAATAGTTCACTGATAAAGCAATTGAGCTGTCTTACTTAGCTAACTTCTCTAGAACCACAGTTCTGGAAGTCTAAACAAAATGGTGTTTAGACACAGTAGCACCTATTTAGCTCACCTCGGTAAGGACTGATTTTTTGTTGTTGTTATTATTGAGACAGGCTGGCCTCTAACTCACTAAGTAGTTGAGAATGATACTGAATTTCTGATCCTGTCTTCACTTCTCAAGTGGCTAGCATTACAGGTGTGCACCATCATGCTCCGTTTATGCTGTGCTGGGGATCAAACCCAGATCTCATGCATGTTGGGCACTCTACCAACAGCCCAACAGTTCTAATTTTTAAACAACAGTATAGACTTTCTTTTCAAGTAATTACATTCTCTATTGTATATTCAACTTTAAAATTACCTAAAACAGGAGGTAGGGCAGTTAAGAGGATTGGGGGAAGGGGAAACTGTTTGGGCTATAAAAAAAATTTTAAAAAGAAAATGATAACATAATATCAAATTATTGATGTTACTGTTGAAATCATAGGTAATGTAAACTATCTGCATATAACTAGCATACAATGATAGTATATTTTTGACTAGTAGAAAAGCTTGTAGAATGTTTACAATAACCCAAAGGAAAGATGTGATGGCTAATCTTCATTGTCAGCGTGACCCGTCTGGGAAGACACAGTCTCACTTGAAGAATTCCCCGATTTGTTTGGTCTCTGGGCAGTTTCTTGGTTGCTGATTGATGTAGGAGGACCTCCCCTGTGAAAGGTGCCATTCCTGAACATGTTCTGTGTAGGAAACCTAGGAGCATTCTGTAAACAGTGGTCTTCCATTGGTTTCTGCTTCAAGCTCCTGCCTTGAATCTTTGCCTTTGCTTCCCTTAATGATGGACTACATCTTGTAAAGTAAAATATCCCCCACCCCCGCCAATTATACTAAAGCAAAAGGAGATTTCTCAGCACAGTTTTTTTCTGATAACCAGTTATAGGCTGTTGGTAGAGGAGCTGGGTCCAGTTCCTAGCACCCATCTAATATCTATCTAATGATGCTGTCTGTATAGATTTGTTGATTTATTTGTCATTTCGGAACAAAAATCGGTTCTTACTGAGGGAATCAGAATACATCCATTTCAATGTCCTTAAAAAAAAGACCCAACTAGTTAAAAACTTTCTAGGTCTCAAAATGAGAATGTTCTATTCTAAAAGGCAGTAGTGTAAGGGTCCAAGAAATCATTACAAGATTATTGAAATGATGTCTAGCCAGATGTGGTGGTGCACACATGTAATTCCAGTACTTGGAGGCAGAGGCAGGAGGAATAAGAGTTTATAGCCAGTGTGGACTCTATAGAGAGATGCTCTCAAAAAATAAGTCTGCAGCTTTTAAATTCAATTGCTTGAACATACAGTTATAGTTTGTCTGTTTTGCCTAAATCCTTTAGTGATAAAAGTTGTGTTTAGCTGATTCAGTTAGGTTAGTCTAGTTAATCTGATTCTGAGCATAGACCCTCTTATTTTGGTGACTTTTTGTTTTTATTTGTTTTTGTTTAAGATCGTATTTGGGAATTTAAGTACCTTTTTGTTCAACGCAATTGCATACTAGAAAACTTAGAGTTGCATACAACACTGTGGTCATCCTGTGAATGCCTGTTTGAGGACGATACAAGAGCAATTTCATTTAGAGCAAAATTTCAAAAAACTATACCCTCCTTTGTCAAGACATCAGACTTAGCAACTCACCTAAAGGATAAGTATTCAGGTATGATCTTTATATATGTAAAATGTTTCTAGCTTTAGTATGAGCAAAGAGGCTACCATTTGTGAGAATATATATAATTAAATATGAAAGTGAAATGTAGCCGGGTGGTGGTGGCTTACACCTTTAATCCCAGCACTCTGGAGGCAGAGGCAGGCGGATCTCTGAGTTCAAGGCCAGCCTGGTCTACAGAGTGAGTTCCAGGACAGCCAGGGCTGCACACAGAGAAACCCTGTTTAAAAAAAAAAAAAAAGAAGAAGAAGAAGAGGAGGAGGAGGAGGAGGAGGAGGAGGTGGTGGAGGGTGAAATGATGTAGATCTTTACAGATAGCTGAAACAGATTTTGATTTCTTAGCTTTCTCCTGCTAACTCTGTGAGTTTTTCTTTTAAGCAATTAAGGATCACCTAATATTTTTTTCATGTATAATTATATTTTTGTCTTTAAATAGAGTCTCATTATATAGCTTACCCTGACCTCCAACTCATGATCCTCCTGCCATCGGCTGGGATTGCAGGTGTACACCACCATCCCAGGCTCTGAAGTTTTCATTGTTGAAAGGTTTTAACTATAAATTCAATGTATTTCATAGATACAGAGCTGTTAAGATTATCTACTTGTTGAGTGAATTTTGGTTTGTAATTTTCGAGAAATTTGTTCATTTAAATTATTGACATAGCAAAAATTATTGATATGCATTGTTAAGTATATTGATAAGTCATTCTCTTACTATGCTTTTGAATATTGATAGAATAGGTAATGCTATTGATCTTACCTGATATTAGTAATTTGTTTTTTTATTTTTATTTTATTGATTGCAATCACTTTTGGTTTCAGTGATTTTTCTGTTTTCTCTTTTATTCACCTCTGTTCTGTATTATTTCTTTTTTTCTATCTATTTGAGTTTTGCTTTTTCTTATTTAAGATAGAAATTGAGACCCCCCCCCATCAATGTGGATCATTAGTGCCATAAATTTCCTGTACAGTAAAGTGTCTGGGTTTGCCAGTGCTCTGTGACTTGTGAGTTTTTCTCTTTTAGCTGTGGTAAAGACACCCTTTCCATGCCTGTGGAAGCTCTGGGGTTGGTCTGTTCCTGCTCTGTGCTGGCCATATAGACTTAGTCAAGATACCCAAGGGGCCCAGATAATAGCATGTGACCCAGGTCATCTCAGATTTGCCATGCAAAAAATATCCTTACCATTCTGAGATACCTCGAGTGTTAGGAACTGTGTGTGTGTGTGTGTGTGTGTGTGTGTGTGTGTGTGTGTGTGTGTGTGTGTGTGTATAACAAGATGGGAGTATAGATCTAGTCCTTGCTCCACTATGACCGAATGATAATCGACTCTTACTGGTCATGTTAATTCATACATGCCTTGTGTTGATCAGTCTTCACTGTTGGCTCGACTGGATTTAGACTCACCTGGGTAACATAACCTCTGCATGTGCTGTGAGGGTGTCTTCATAGAGGTTAACTAGGAGGGAGCACGCACCCTGAATGTGGGCAGCCCATCCTGTGGTCTCAAGTCCTGACTGGATAAAAATGGAAAAAGGAGAAAGTGAGCTGAGCACCAGCACCCATCTTCCTGAGGATACAATGTGCAGACAGCCTGGCTCCTATGCTCATGCCTTCCTCTTCAGGGTGGAGTGCAGTCTTTGAGCTGTGAACCAAAATAATCCCTTCTTTCTTGAGTTGCTGTTGGTGTGGTGTGTAGCCACAGTGATGAGAAAAGTAGCTAATATATGTATGTATATATTTTTCTGAGATACAAGTATAGGCTAGCATTGCTACATCATCAAACTAAGTTAATAAAAGTACAAGTGCAGAATGAACAAAAAACATTTTAGTTGAAAGTAGTGATTTTATTATTAGAAAATAACTCCATATATGTAGCCTTTATTAACAGTTATATTAATATTTTTAAGAAGCACAGATTTTTAAAAAATATAAGCTTTTTTTAATAGACCTTTTTTTGTTTGTTTGGGGTTTTTTTTAGGTTTTTTTTGTTGTTTGTTGTTGTTGTTATTTTGAGACACGGTTTCTCTGTGTAACAGCCCTGGCTGTCCTGGAACTTCCTCTGTAGACCTGGCTGGCCTCAAACTCAGAGATCCACCAAACCTCTGCCTCCTGAGTACTGGGATCAAAGGTGTGAGCCATCACTGTCCAGCAAATATAGGTTTTTATAGTGATACCTTTTATACCACTTTCAAACATGAAGTTACTGTGACCAAAGTAGAGTCCAGATTTACACTAACTAGTGAAATCTTGAGTAATGAATCATCATATAAATTTTTAAACTATGTCCACCCTCAAAATTCCATAGACCACAGAGATGGCTGCCATAGGAAGGAGGGCCACAGGCAGCAAGGGGCAGTCCCACTTTACAGTTTTTATTTGTTACTATGGTGGAGTCAACTTCATCTACTGCTTCCACAAGATAGTGACATGCTAGGATCAAAGCCTAGGATTAGACTTAAAAATAAAAATAAGCAACCTCACAGGAGTCAGCAAATTGGTGGCCACAGAACCGATGGTTAATGGTAGCAAAGATACAACCTCACTCTCTTGGGGATGATGCTGAGCACTGGGAATGTTCTTGGAAATCTGGGGGTGTGCTCCCCATTGGATACCCAAACTGTATGTTGTCGCCAGTCTTTGATAGGTTGTAGTCAAAGGGCCTCTTTAGCCCCTTTCATTCTGTTATGGTCAGCTACAAGAACAGACACAAGACTTCTGTAGATGTAACCAACTGTCTTATTAAATAAGAAACACAGAGCCGATTCAGAGAAGAAAGCCAAGAGGTCAGAACTAAGAGCCTTACCCTTCCTGCTTCAGCCAAGAGAGTTCTCCGAAAAGAAGGGGCCTACTTCCTGTGTGTTTGTCTTATATAGTCTTTCTGTTCTGCCTTCTCATTGGTTGTAAACCCAAACACGTGACTGCGTCGTCACTGCCTGTATGTTCAGCCCTCCAGGTCCTCTATGGTATTGAGATTAAAGGCGTGTGTCTCCAGTGTTGGCTGTATCCTTTTACACACAGAGATCTACCTAGCTCTGTCTACCAAGTGCTGGGATTAAAGGCGTGCGCCACCACCGCCACGCTCTTGCTATGGCTCTAATAGCTCTGACCCCTGGGCAACTTTATTTATTAACATACAATTAAAATCACATTTCAGTACAAGTAAAATACCACCACAGGTTTCTGTCATTGTTTCTTTAAAGTGTGAAAAGAGAAAAAGAACATGCAAAAACAAGCAATTTTCCCTAGCCTGTTTTTTCCAGTTAAATAACAGACAAGAGAAAGGGGCTATCAAACCAGGGAGATGTCCCAAGCCAGTCTTCTTGCTGACAAATGGTAGAGAAGGGTGGCTCCTTGTAAAGAGCTGAAGACACTCTGTTTCCCCTACGAGAAGCAGAGCTCTAGTGCCCAGCCTTCTAGAATACCCCTGAAAGCAAAGTCCACTTTTAGAAGAAAGTGGTATGCCAATTTGTAAAATGACAGAGTTATATAACAGTTCTGAAATTATCGCATATCTCAGTTTTTGTATGTGTGTGATTGAACTTGTCTGTGCAAAAGTGTAATGTTGAGTCTGCTACAGCTTATTAAATATGTGACCACTACCCACTCCCACTAACTCATGTAGAGATATGTGGCCTGAGTAGAAGAAATGATGAAAGCATCTCTGGGCCCCAAGAGACTAAGACAAATGAAAGACATTAAGGAGAGTCACCACTATTGGATTCCCAAAGAGATAGCCAGAAAACTGCACAGGGACAGACATGATACATCCTGATCTATAACTGTAAGAGGATCTTGATGGCTAACTTGATTGCTAACTTGATTGGATTAAGAAGGGCTAGGAACTAAGTGAAGTACAACTCAGCCTATGTCTGTGGGATATTTCCAAAGACAGTTAACCAAGGGAGAAGGCCTGTTCTAACTGTGTGTGGCAGCATCCCCTTGGCTGGGGGTCCAGAGAAAAAGGAAAAGAAAACTCCAGCTAGCACCAGCATTCTCCCTGTTTCCTGGCTGCCATGATGTGAGCTGCCCTGCTCTGCTGTCCTCTCCCACCATGCCTGTGCTGAGACCTCTGAACCCGTGAGCTCAAATACATCTCCCTGCCTGTATATGATGTCAGATATTTTGTTTTAGTGATGAAAAGCTGACTAACAAAAAATATAAGACCAAGTCTGCAAGATTAAAGACACCTTTAAATGAGTATGGAGAGGAGAGTAATGTTCAGATAGATTCATAGGCTATACTAGTATGCAGAAAGGCAAAAATAAGTTAGGATCAAAAGATCATAGTAGATGTAGTAGATATTTGGTATATATTTAGTGGATGAATGAATTATGAATTGTTAGAGGTGTTAACATGCTTGAGGTTACAGTGAATGACAGAAGAAACCATGCTCCCCTCCCCAATCCATTCCTTTTCGAATGGTCACTCAGATTCACTCAGTTGCAGACAAATCCTCCATTATATTCTAGGTTCTTTATTGAAGCCATAAGTGAGTTGAGATTCTCTTGGAAGGGAAGAATTCCAAGAGTAAGACCTTGGTGTAGCCTATACTCTAAGTGACTGTAAATGAACCACATTGCTAGCTGTGTTTGTCAGTTAAAGTTATTGTTGGCTCTAATAATTCTTTCTTTCTTTTTTTAATGTAGGAGTGGTTCTGATTAAAGCCAAGGTTTCAGAGCTGGTGTTTACTGTCCCAGCAGCTCAGAAGATAGCTCTAAATGCTCACAGTTCTCTGAAGGGTATCTTCTCTTCTCTTCCCAACATTACATATGCTGGCTGTGCACAGTGTGGCTCAGAACTGGAAACAGATGAGAACAGGGTCTACAGACAATGTCTGAGCTGCTTGCCATTTGCTGGGAAGAAAACATTCTATAGGTAAGGCAACAGAGTGTGACGTTTTGTTGATTTGGTGGAAAATACTGCATAGGACTGGAAGTGACGAAAAAGTACAAGATCCTGTTCTTTATAATGTAACTAACTGGCGCTTAAGCAGAAGAATAAAATTTCCCTGGGTGACAACTGTTTGTGAAAGCAAAAATTCCCCAGTAATGAATAAGACTATTTTAAAGAATGAGGTGGATCTTACTTTCTTTAAAACAGCTATATTGAAGACTTCGTTCACTTTTAACCGACATCTGACTGTCCCATCAATAACTTATAAAGGTTAAAGTGTTCTGTGACCTCTCCCTGTTTGCAGAGGCCAGGGAATATTTGTCTGGACTTCAGTGCTTCCGTTTCTCACCTTTCCTTTAGAAGTGAAAGACAGCTCGTCAATATATGTTCTCTGGTAAAATTGTTAGCTAGCTCAGTGAAAAGCACACTGCTTTCAGATCAGTGTTCAAAGTCTTGATAATCATTGTTTTATAATCATAAAATTGTATTACTTTACAAAGGACAAGAAGTCCTTTCCTGTTATTTCCAAATATTGAAGTATAAAGGAAGTACATGTGTATTCAGTACTTTATTTACTTTTATGTTGTTTTAAACACGGTCTTGTTAGATAGCCCAGGCTAGTGTCAAACTCATAATCCTCCTCCTGCATCACCTTTCTAAGTGATATGCATGTGCCGTGTGTCATGGCATATATGAAAATAATATACAGAAGCTTGGTCAGTCAGACTCATTTATCTTTATAGATATTGGTGTTTGTTAGAAAGAAGTGAATGAAGCTGGGCCTGTGCTACAATGTGCAATCCCAGTAATTGGGAGATTAAAGTAGGATCTCAAGTTCAAGGCCAGTCAGGGCTACATAGCAAGACCATGTTTTAACAACAATAACAATAACAACAACAACAAAATGAATAAAAATAAGTAAAATAAAAACAAGTAAGTGAATGAATTTTACTTTTTCTTTCTTATTTTTCAATCCAGAGGATTGAATTTAGGGCCTCATGCTAGGCAAATGCTATATTTTGTCTTCTTTTTACCCTTTATGTTGAGACAAGGTCTAAATTGTCCATGCTGACCTTTAACTTACTCTGTAGTCCAGAAAGTTGTGATCTTCCTATGTCAGCTTCCTAAGTAACTAGATCATAGTCTGTGCCTCCAGGCCTGGCCAGTTTCCTATTGCTTTAGACATTGCTAAGGAGAGTGAATTAAGGTGTATGATGTACAACAAACATAATTGAATTAGACTTATTAATAATTAAGGCCTTCAAAATGATGTAGAGTTGATTTATTTTATACAGAATTTTTGAGGGGTGTTGAGACAAGGTGTGCTATGTGTCCCAGGCAGTTCTCAGATTCATGCCTTATAATTTGTAGTTAGTTGTATATTTGTCTTTTAAAAATGTTTTTATTTTTGGTTGTGAGCCTAGCCTTTAACGGCTGAGCTATCCCTCCGGGCGGTGGTGGCGCACGCCTTTAATCCCAGCACTCGGGAGGCAGAGCCAGGCGGATCTCTGTGAGTTCGAGGCCAGCCTGGACTACCAAGTGAGTTCCAGGAAAGGCGCAAAGCTACACAGAGAAACCCTGTCTCGAAAAACCAAAAAAAAAAAAATGTTTTTATTGAGCAATAAGTCACATGCTGCCACAGTAACTCACACATTGCATGTGCACACATGACACCCATACACACAATAAAAAATTTAAGAATTTTAGCTATATAATTCAGCTATATAATATAGTGTATCCAGAGGACTGTAGACCTGTCCTGATAGCCAGATCCATGAACACTTATTCTACTCCTCACAGTAGAAACTGCTAACCTACTTTCTGTTGCTATAGATATACCTGACCTGAGCGTTTCATACAAATTAAATCTTATAGTGTGGGGTCTTTAGTGACTGGCCTCTCAGCATAGTGTTTTCAAAGTTCATCTATGTTATGGACTATATCAGTACTTTAAAAGTTTTTATTTATTATTATTATTGTATGTGATGTTTATGTGTCCATGCTATGGGGCATATATGGAGGTCAGAGGACAGCTTTGTAGAGTTGGTTCTCTACTTCTGTGGTGACCCAGTTAGCTCTCTGTTGCTGTGGTAATCAACACCATGACCAAAACCAACTTGGAGAAGCAAGGGTCTGTTGGATTATACTTCCAGGTAATAGGGCATCATTAAGAGAAGTCAGGCCAGGAACTCAAGCCAGGTCAGAGGCAGAAACTATGGAGAAAAGCCGCCTACTGGCTTGCTCCCTGCCCTTTGCCTAGAGATGGTACCCCACAGACGTGCTCATAGGCCATAGACCAATCTCATTGAAACTCCCTCAGATAGCTAGCTCTGGGCTGTGTCAAGTTGATAGCTGAAGCTAACTAGGAGGTGTAGATTCAAGGCTTGCACAGCAGGTACCTTTATCCTCAGAGCCATCTTGCTGGCCTTAATTTTTTTTCATACAAGTGTTTTATTATTTGCTTAATTATTTAAGAACTATTTGAGTTTAGCTTCATACCGAATACTTTCTTTGAGTTATTTTACTTTGAAAACTAATGTGAATAATATCAAATTATGAGAAAATGAATAATGTCTTCTTTATTACTGGTTTATTAAAAGTAACTGAATTATGTCTTTTGTCAGTGTTACTGTGTTTTAGTATTTCAGAAAAGAGAATGTTATCTATATGTTGACATGTCTACAGTTATCTATGTGTGTTATCTATATGTTGACATGTCTACAGTTATCTATGTGTCTATATGGTTGTAGATCTCTGTAATCAGTCTAGCCATCTGTATCTATTTAATATCCTTGTGGAAAGCCGCTTTGTCCCAACAATCTTGATAGCTTACATTATCAACCATAATACCGAGAAATTTTCCTGTCTTTGTCCCTCTGAAGAAGAAATTGCTCTTTCCCCAGAGAAGAACTGGCAGCATTCTCCCACTCTCCTGAGCCTCCCTCTTTATGGTTCATGCAGTTTGGCCTTTTTTTCTTTTAGTTTTTATTTCTTTTATGTGTATGAGTATTTTGCCTACATGTATGTGCACTATGTGTATGCCTGGTTCCTGCAGAGCATGTAGATATCCTGGAACTGGAGTCTTATGGTTGGGAGCCAAGAGCAACGAGTACTCTTAACTGCTGAGCCATCTCTCCACCCCCAGCCTCTGCTCTTTTGTGATGGGGTCTGATATGATTGGTTCTGGAATGTTGGCTTTCCCCATGGAATTGGTTGGTGGCTGAAGTCTTGCAGTAAATACTAGATTTAAGGCTTGGGAGGTGATTGGGGCCTTGGTCATAAGCAGTGGAAACAAGGCTCCTTCTGAAGAGAAGTGTAAGATGATGTTTTATAGAGTGTAAGCCTAGAAGCAGCCAACTAAGAGATGCTAGACTGGGTGGAGTTGGTTGGACTCAGTCACTGGTCAAAATTGGTCCTGGTTTGGCAGGACCAACACTCAAAAATGTGTTGGCTAGAACTGGTTGAGATGGATTGACTGTGATAGGCTGAGTTGGTTTGGAATGCAGCCAGGCAAAGTAAGCTGCTGTGGGTCTTCATGAAACCAGGGACAGTGGCCTTTGAAATACAGGTAATGCTTGAGGCTTGTCCAGGGTGGGAGAGGCAAAGGTACTAACTTGATCTTCCCAGATGCTCATACTGGGATGGAGATGGACACTCCTTTTCAGCTCCTCTCTCTGGTGTCTGTCTTTGCCTGGGGTTTTCTCAGAACCTTTCCCCTCAGGTAGGATTTGATGGCTGGGGATGGCTGGAGTTCTTTAGTGCTGTTGGTTTCCGAGAGCCTGGGAGGAAGAGATTCCAGTTTTCTTTTCACTCTTGTTATCCAGTGCATGAAAGACTTGCAGTGATTCCCGCATGTGCATACCTCAGTGAGTTCAAGGCTTCCTAGCCATTTCTGCTGAGTTCAGATGGATTCCTTTTCCTCTTGGTCTTGAGAATGGTCAGCTTCTCATCTGCCTTGACTTTGTTCCTGGGCTGCTTACACTTTTGGTCATTAGAGTTGTTTTCTCTGGTCCTTTTGGTCTTTGTTGCCCACAGCAAAACAAAACAAAACAAAACTAAGCAAAGGCAACTTTCTGAGCTTGGCTGTCAGAGAACTTGGCCATGTTCTAGGGAGCCCTATCACTGTCCATAGCATTGCCCATAGTTGCTTCTCCCCCATCACACTCACTGGGCCCTGGCACTGGCGTTTGGTCTGCACTGTTTCATCCAGAGACTCAGAGGCCAGAGGCCAGAGTCCTTGTTCTTCCTGACCTGGTCACAGGGGCTCTTTATGTATGACCCTTCCCAGATTACATCAGTGGCTGATGTGGGATCTTCAGTTTTTTTGTTTTGTTTTTGTTTTTGTTTTTTTTTTGACAGTTTTGTGTATCCCAGGTTTGCCTTGAATTTGCCATGTAACTGAGACACAATGGCTTTAACTTCTGCTCCTCTTGCCTCTGCTTCCCAAGTTCTGGGATTGTAAGTGTGCATCATCATGCCTGGTTTCTGTGGTTTTGAGGATTGAATCTAGGACTTATGTATGCTAGGCAAGCGTACTAACTGAGATAAATCCTTAGCACAGTACTTGTTTTTATTGTGAAATAATATTCTACCGTATGTATATCCTGTATTATTCATCCATTTATAAGTTGATGAACATTAGAGTTCTTTCCTCCTTGGGGCTGCTATGAACATGTGTGTACATGTTTTTGTGTAGACATAGTTTTCATTGATTTGGGTATATACACAGGAATGCATTTGCTGTGTTGTATGTGTTAGCCACTTAAGGCATGGCCAAGCTGTTTTCCAAAGCAGTTATGCAATTTTCCATCTTACTAGGAAGCAGTGGCTCCACATCCTTGATATTGTGTTAAGTCTCTTGTTTTAATTTCTCTGTTGCTTGAGTTTTTGCTGTCAGATGTAAGAAAAGTGCCTTTCTTAAGCCAAGATCATGGAGATTTACATCTATATTTTCTTTCAAAGGCTTAGTAGTTTTAGCTGTTTATATGTAGATTTGTAATTTACCCTGTATTGATTTCTGTGTGTGGTATAAGGAAGAAGTCTAATTTGTTCTTTTGCATATTCATATATGCTTGCTCTAGCATGATTTTTTGAAGTTATTTTACTGATTTTTAGGCTGGTATACAAAGCAATGGGTTTCATCATGGCTTCTTTCTCTATTTGTATCATTATACTTTGTTCTCATTCTCTTCTTTCCCCATCTGGCTTCTTATGCAGTTCAGCTGATGCCCTTCCTTCATCCAGTTAGTGTACCCTTCTGCTTTTATAAATATAATATCTAAAAATCGTATCTGTACTGTATATACTATAGATAATTACATATATAGGATATACAAAATTTTCACATGGGTTCTCCATATATAATTAAATATGTGGTATTTGTCTTTCTGAATCTGGCCTCTTTTACTTAACATGATTTCCAATTATATCATTTTTCTTGCGTATGTGTCCAGCATGATTTATTGAAAAGGTTATTCTGGCCCACATGGAGTCATCTTGGCAGCATTGTTAAAAGAAAAACTCTAATCTTGGAGTTAGATGTAAAGGTCAGTGGTGCAGCACTAGTCCACCATGTATGAGCAGCTCCTAATCAACAGAACCCAAATCCCAACCAACCAACCAACCAGAACAATAGCAACAACAAAATAAGACAGAACACCCGAACAAACAAAACCCGCTTTCTTATAAAATTCCCAAGAGCCTTGAATGAAGGAACCAGTTTTGTTTTGTCCTGAGTATAAACCAGCATTTAGCACTGTCCATGGTGTACAATAGAGACTCAGTTTGTATTTGTTGAAATGAAGAATGGAAGGAAAGGTGAGCAGAGAGAGGGCAAGAGAGAGAGAGAGAAGAGAGCAAACAAGAGACAGAAGCCAAGGTGGACGGAGAGAGACTGGGCTGTAAAGATGAAAGGTCCTGGAATGATGTGGGTAAAGGGGTGAAATCCGCAGTCATGTTTTATTTTTACTTCACTACATTCCTTTCTATTCATGAATCTGATTCTAAATTCTGTTGTTTATTTTTTGTAGGCCAGCTTTAATGACCATAGTTGATGGAAAACATAGTACTTGTGTCCATGTAGGGTCAAGGATGATGGAACGCATTCTTCTCAACATCTCTCCAGATTGCCTCAACAGAGCGATAGGTAAAATAGCAACACCACCACGCAGTGGTTCTCTGAACTGTTGATGGGAGTAGTCAGGACAGAAAGGGTACTGTGTTGTAGATAAAGCTTTTTCCTGTCACTATAAAGGTAGAAAGATCGTTCAGTTTGAGTGAAACACGAAAGCTTACATAAGGCGGAAGGTAAGTTCTCCTTACATCTGTCTTCGTATATGAATAAAGGAGGGAAACACCTAATCTCTTTAGCCGAAACTCCTGATTGGTCAGCAGAGCACTAGGAGCCTAGCCTCCCACTAGTTAAACAAATGAATGGGTAGTACCATGCACCGAAAGTAATCTCTCGTTGGAATGGATTTTTAAGATCCTCAGCTGCGGTGCCAGGGACAGTCATGGACTAAGAAAGCAAACAGCTCCCGCTTGTCAGATGATCATGCTCCATGTCTGTCCTCATTAGCCTCAGACTCCTTAGCTAGACAAGCTAATCTAGTTCCTTTGTGTCTTAGTTTTGTAATTGTGGGTTGCTCTTCTTGTTAATAATAGGTTGAGCAGCTAATCCAAAAATAGGAAACATAATGAATGTCATGTTTAGATTTGAGTCTTATCCCTAAGATACCTCATAATGTCTATATACACATATATATGTATGCATTATATATATATATTAAATTTAACATCCAAAAATCTTCTGGTCTCAAGAACTTTGGTTTAGAAATGCTCAGCTTGTATATGTACTTATAACTATGATTAAAAACTGTAGAAATAAGAGTATGAGGCTTTTTCTGATATGGACATGCCCTTCTTTTTTAAAATTTCTTTTATGTGTATGAGTATTTTATTCACCTGCATATCTCTACACCAGAAGAGACCAAAAGAGGGCATTGGATCCCCTAGAACTGGAGTTAGGAATGGTTGTGAGTCGCCATGTGGGTGCAGGGATTTAAACTCAAGTCCTCTGCAAGAACAAGTTCTCCTAACTGCTGAAGCCAATGCCATGCCCTTCTCACTTCAGGCCAGAACAGACCTCAGTCTTCACTTTGTTTCGAAGCTGGTGGCTGGAATTGCTGTCAGGCTGACATTTCCTGTGCTTGCTTTGGATGCTCAGTGGGAGCCATGCCATCTTTTTAGACTACCTTCAACAACTTGAAACTAGAAAGAGAGGTAGAGAACAAGAAATGTAAGGTATATGTGAAGCTTGAGGAGCCCAGGGAAACAAGGAAGGCCTTCAGAATGCGGTTCTGAGAAGCTAGAAGGGGTCCTGAGTGGTGTGTGTGTGTGTTGTTCTTCCTCAGTACCTTCCTCAGAAGTCACCTACAGCATGGTCGCAGCAGACTTACTCCACTCCTTGTTGGCCGTCAGTGCAGAACCTTGTGTGTTGAAGATCCAGAGCGTTTTCGAGTTGGATGAAAACAGCTACCCATTGCAACAGGATTTCTCCCTACTGGATTTCTGTCCTGATTCATGGACGATGTGGAGCCCGGGACTTTCTCTGAGGTCAGAGGAGGACACAGGCAGCATTCCAAGGAAGGAGTGATGAAATAATCTGTCTTTTGAAGATTTATATATTTTTTATGTTTGTGAGTTTTGCCTGTGTCTGTCTGTGTACCATGTCTGGTGCCCACAGAGGCCAGGAGAGGGGACTAGATCCCCTGGGACTAGAGTAATATATGGGTGTGAGCTGCCAAATGGATTCTGAGAAAGTGCTCTTAACTGCTGAGCCACCCAACCCTATGATCTGTGCTTTGAAATAAATGAAATGACAGGGCTTTTGCCTGGAGTTTTTAAAATAAATATTTTATTACCATAATATATTTGTACTAAATTTATAAGTTAATTTTAAAAAGAATTCCGTGAAGCTTTTATTATTTGCTTTTTTGTTGGTATTCTTTTTATTCTGGAGAAATGATGTAGCAATAAAGGCATATGTCACAGTTCCTGAGGGTTACAGGTGCCTCATCTGTCTCCTAACGTAGACCCTGATGCATCAAGGCACTCAACACTGAAGAGCCACATGTAAGATGCTTCTTCAGAAGTTACTTTTCTGTTATAAACTCTACATGCTTTTTCTTATTTCTGTCTTAATAAGTGCCAGTGTGAATTAATTTCTCCATGTTAACTGTATGTGCTAGCTAGGGACACAGGACTGTTGGTGTAGTGGCAAGCGAATTAGCTGCTTCTCTTGTTGCTGAGACGACACCCCTGCAAAGTAACCGAAGGAAGGAAGGAAGGTTGACAGGTGAAGGGCAGTCCTCATTCTGAAGAGGGACAAGTGTCCATGACCCCCAGGTCCATCTTTGGGGTCCTGACATGTCTCAGTATTCTGATAGCCGAAGGGAGGGCACAAATATTCCCAGAGTATTGTGGCTCCTGATCAACTGGATTAGTATTGTAAAAATGGCTGTATTCCTGAAAGCAGGCTACATACTCAGTGCAATCCTTAACAAAAGTCCAGTGAGTTTCTTCACAGAAATAGAAAAAAAATCCTAAAATTCACGTGGAAGAACAAAAGTACCTTAGACCAGTGTTTCTCAATCCATAGGTCATGACTTGATATTCTTTCATATCAAATATTTACATTGCAATTTATAACAGTAGCAAAATTACAGTTATGAAGTAGCAATGAAGTGATTCTGTGGTTGGGGGTCACTACAACATGAGGAGCTGTATAAAAGGGTCACAGCATTAGGAAGGTTGAGAACCACTGCCCTAGACAGTCAAAGCCAACTGAAAAGCAAGAGCAGTGTTAGAAGAAGCACAGTATCTAATTGTAGTGGGTAGCCATTCCAGCTTTGATCTGGAAGTTCCAACCCCCATTGAGGCTTCGGTAACTGTCACGCCTACAAGGTGGGGCCAAGAGAGGACCCTGAAGACCCGAGATCAGGATGTGCCGGCTCTCTTGGTTCCTGGACCCTGGATGCTGGAGGTAGACCAAGCAGAGTTCTCCAGAGAACACTGCCGAACTGCGCCACACCTTTCCCAGACCCTGTTACCTATCCCTTCACTTGTGAGTTACCCCACAAAATAAACCTCCCTTTTAACTATGTGGAGTGGCCTTAATAATTTCACCAATATCTAGTTTCAAATCTCATTACAGAGCTACGGTGACAAAAACAGATGGTCTCAGAACAGACACGTAGACCAATGGAGTAAACTAGAGGATGCGGAAACAAGCCCATACAGTTACAGCCACGTGATTGACATACACTGGAGTGTGCATGGCATGCTCTTCAACAAATGGTACTGGGAAAAACCAGATAACCACATGAGAATGAAGCTACTTCTGTCTCTTATCCTGTACAGAAAGTGATTCAAAATGGATCAGCACCTTTAAGATCTGACAGAACTGCAACCGGAAAACACAGGGAGAATCCTTCCAACATCCAGGCTGGTGTGGACACACGGAAAGGACACACGGAAAGGACTCCAGCAGCTCAGGAAGTAAGGCCAAGAACTGGCAAATGGGACGGCAGAGAGTTTTAAAACTTCTACAAAGCAAAGCGAATCACAGAGTAAAGAGACGGCCTACAGGACAGGAAATTGTCAGCTGTGTTTTTGACGTGGGATTAGTATCTAGAATGAAGAACAACAGAACCAATAAATGACAAATGAATCAAATAGTTCCCAAAGAGGTTTGTAAGTCTGTGAAGAAAACATTCAATGTCTGTAGCCCTCAGGGATAGGCAAACAAAAACTGTAGTCAGATTCCATCTATCCCAACCAAAGGGGCGATCAGCAAGGAGACAGACAGCAAATGTTGGTGAATGTGGAGAAAGAGGAATCCTTACACTCCAGCTCATGGCTCCAGTAAAGAAACAGCATCATGCCGTTCACAGAAGGTCTGTCTGACACGTAAGAAGAGTCATGTTCAAAGCGCGATGTGAAGGAAGGCAAACAGAAACAGCATACATCTTCTCATTCCTTAGATAATATATAATATGCTGTACATTGTACATTACATATATTTATATGATGTGTCTATATATTATATAGTATATATTATATAGTGCATGTGACCATGTATAAGTGCTGTATAAACCAAGAAGGAAGAGTCAGTGCTTGCAAAGGGCCACCCTGGAAGGTTGGCTTCTGTGTCCTGCCGGCTCTAAATCCATCCCTCAGTACTTGCTCTGAGCTAACAGTCAGCCTAGTGGCAGTCACTAAACAGTAGAGGGCGCTGGAGACGCACCGCGGAAGGCTGCGCTGCAGTCCAGGGTGAGCTGGAAGCCACAACAGAGTGCCCAGTTCTCTGGCCCCACTAGTGAGGGCTCAGCCAGGCTGTCACTCACGTGACTACCCTCTTCTGTCCCGCCCTCTAAGTGCTCTAGGCGGGGTCCCCTGGTGGACCTCCTTTGCTCACTCACTCCTGCCTGGAAGTTTGTCAGTCAGCAAACTAACTCAAGCCCAAACCAAGAGAACGAAGGGGTTATTGCCAGACTTCATCCTTCATCGTTAGCAGTGGACAGTTAATGTACACAGAGACACGAGAAGAAGTGAGAAGTTTAAGGAGAAAGGCAGGAAGAAGGTTTTCCCTTCTGCAGACCCTGACTGCAAAGTGCCGCAGGCTGCTGGGTGTCTTTTTCTGAGCTCTCTGGTGAAATGGAATGCTGGTAGCATTTCATACATCTGGAATTGAGTCCAGCTCTAGCGCTGCTTTCTAGCTGCAGGGCACTGAGAAACAGCACATCCTCTGGACCCCACTTTCTCCTCTACTGATGGAAGGGAGGTCCCTCCTGGGCGGGGCCTTAACCTGCTCATGTACAAAACCTTACTCAGTTCCCAAGGGATGGTTTCTTTCTTCCATCCACAATTGAAACACTGTTTCTCTTAAAGCAAACAATGATTCGGGCAAATCATTCCATAGTAAGTATTAGGGGAACATAATGGGCAAGTATTACAGTCTGTTTTTAAAATTGCATGCTAAATTCAATTAAGAAATTTGTCAATTATATTGAAGGAGCTGGCCATATGCAATCTAATCAGTGAATTATTTCATTATATTCTTCTTGTTAGTTATTCAGACCTTCTTAGCAGATAGCTAACTTCTCCCTGCTCCTTGGATAAAAACCCAGAGCAAGTCCCATGACTCCTTTTTCTTTATCTCTTTTTCAGTATTGTGACTTTTGCTCACCATTAGTAGCAAGTAAATAAAATTCCTCCAGTAACTTCTAATTCCACAGCCAGACTCTGTGTGATACAGTCATCCACAGTGTTTAGTGTGTACAGTCATCCACAGTGTTCAGTGTGAACAGTCATCCACAGTGTTTAGTGTCATACAGTCATCCACAGTGTTTAATGTGAACAATCATCCACAGTGTTCAGTGTCATACAGTCACAGTGTTTAGTGTGAACAGTCATCCACAGTGTTTAGTGTGAACAGTCATCCACAGTGTTTAGTGTGAACAATCATCCACAGTGTTCAGTGTCATACAGTCACAGTGTTTAGTGTGAACAGTCATCCACAGTGTTTAGTGTGAACAGTCATCCACAGTGTTTAGTGTGAACAGTCATCCACAGTGTTCAGTGTGAACAGTCATCCACAGTGTTTAGTATGAACAGTCATCCACAGTGTTTAGTGTGAACAGTCATCCACAGTGTTTAGTGTCATACAGTCATCCACAGTGTTTAGTGTGTACAGTCATCCACAGTGTTTAGTGTGAACAGTCACCCACAGTGTTTAGTTGAACAGTCATCTACAGTGTTTAGTGTCATCCAAAGATCCAACATCCAGTTGTAGCTGACTTCTGCCTGTGTCCTGTTTCTCTGTTTTGTGTATCTATCCATCCTTCCTTCCCCACCTTGCTCACAGGGATGATCATCCATCCTAGCAGAAACCTGCATGGGGTAAGGAGGAAGACCACCGAAGGGGTAGGAAGCTATAGGTCAACAGGAAACAGTGCTCAGCCGCAGTGCTGAGTACTCCCAAGACCCCTTTTTAGGGAAGTCTTCTCCACCAGCCCATGATCTTGTTTTGCTACAAAGTGTCCACTGGCAGCAACACCTTTACAATCCCAACCCCTTTACAGTATTTTTTAGGGAGCATTGCCTTTCACTGGTCTCAAGGGAGACCAAAAATTAACAAGAGGGCAGAAATACGTGCTTCCTCTGATCATTGTCCTCGGGCAGTATGAGCAAACAGTATGCTCAAGGCTCTTGCAGTAATTTGGGCAAACATCCCACAGTGAAAAGTAAGGAAAGCGCACTTGGCAAATGACTGGACAAATTATAACACATCATATTGAAATGCCAATTGGCAGCCATGACCCTGAGGCCGGGAGGCAACCACATGAAAGGTGCCCTCCTAGGGATGTACCTGTAGGAGTGAGCACAGTCCGGGAGCTGCCTCGTTACCCACACTAATTCTTCACCCCTCCCTAGAGCTGTGCCCATTGTTCTGTAACTTCGCAGAAAGACATGCCTGCCTATCTGATCCTTGATTTTCCCCTGGGCCATGTGATTTGCTTTGGTCCAGGGTTATCAGGGGATGCCATGTAAGCAGAAGACAAAAACATGTCTGCCTCCACCTTAAAAAGTGCTGCCCCTGGGCAGCTGCTGCTGCATTAGCTGATGCTTAGTGTGAACAGCTGTGGCACCAGCCTGGTGAAGAGCCCAGCCCAGCCAGACCCACAGATTGAGAACAAGTTGCCTCACCTGGGGCAGTTTATGCCCAGCTGACCCAGAGATGCAGAAATCAGAAATGTTTGTACTGTGTACACTGAGAAGCTGTGATCATTTGCTGTGCACTATCATAGCGGCACAAAGAGCCACCTGAATACAAGCAGCACCTCAACTTGCTCTGATTGAGGGTTTCCTTCAATCTCAATTCTCCTGCCTCTACCTCCCAAGTTGCTACTATTCTGCCACCCCCAACTAGGCATTCTTTTCTGGGAAAGGCAAACTGATATTCATGAACAACAAGGGGAAAAGCTGAATGAAACACAGGCAACCTTACAAGAAGAGCCACAAGGTCAGAAGCAAAGCACAGAGATGAAAGGACTTCTGAGAACCACTCTCCTCTGAAGGAATTTTCTGCTTTGGGCTGAGAGGCTGAGCATGTGGGTCGAGTCAAGGTTAAGGGTAGCAAAGGCTACAGCATCTCTGGAGCTTGGGGGATGAGAAACTGAGACTAGCGTTGCCAAGGCAACTGAGCAAAGAAAGACACAGAAGTCACATTAACCCTTAGAGACTTTCCCCCTGGAAATGTTGGTTGAATTATTGAGCTGAATTATGAAGTTAGCAGTTTCGGGGAATGTCACAATTCTTTTACAAGTTGGAGTCAGGACCCACAGAGGAAGAGCTCTTGGTTGGGTTCCTTGAAGGATACTCTTGACTCAGTTCAAAACCTGACAACTGACTTGACATGCTTAAATAGTGACTGTATCCACGCATACTTTCCCATGTGATATTTACACACATATCATCTTCATAGGATGCTCCCTTTCCTGCTGTCTTGTAGATTCAGAATGAATTTTTCTTTGTTTTCCTGACTTTGGGGTAAGCAGAATACTGATGTTATTTTCTTAAGATGACCAGTAATTGCTTACCCTTAAGTACTTCTGCCCTCTGAACTCCTTTATGAAAGTTAATCCCATCAGTTGATAATTAAATTTAGTAATGCCCCAGTGCTACCTGGTTGTCACTTTGCAAGAAGATGCCAAGAACAGCAGAGTTTGGGGTTGAGCTTCACTGAGGCACTCAAGGCAGGTGGCGAAGGCTGCCAGTGGTGGATACGACTCCATGGACCATGTTCTTAGAAACCAGTGACTGCTTTACTGGCCTCGCTGTCCCTATTGCCTGTAGTACTGTCACCTCTCAGGCACTGCTAAAAACAGCTTTATGAACGTACAGAGGAGCTGCTTCTTTCTTTTTGTTTAGGGTGGAGACTAATTGCTTCTCTTCCAAAAAGTGTGTGAATCTAAATTCCATTGATTTGAAGGTAAAATGTTTTTGTGAGGATTTGAAGGTCCCCCCACCCTTTTCTTTTTAGATAGGGACTCATTATATAGTCTGGTTTTAAAGTTGAAACCCTTCTGTCTCAGCCTTCTGAGAAGTGCATCACTATGCCATGTGGGGATTTGGATTTTGATGGAGCTGAAGAGATGGCTTACAGCAGTTATGAACACTTGCTGCTCTTCCTGAAGATCTGGGTTCAGTTTCCAGCACCCCCATCGGGTAATTCCAGTCCCAGGAGCTCTGACACCCTCTTCTGGTCTCCTTGGGCACCTGCATGCACATGGTGCACATACACACAAGCAGGCACCCACACGTACACAACAATGTAAATTTGTTAAAGAATTATTATAACAACTATTTTTCTTATTCCATGATTTTTAAAAATATTTCCTTCAGAAAATAAAAACCTGTCTAAAAAGAATATATGTTTTTCTTATTCGTTTTTTTATAGTTAATTGCTCTCAGACTTAGTGTTTCTTATAGTTGGTATCCTATATGTTTGAGTACTATCTTTAAAATGCTTTATCATGTTTATGGCTAGATGACCTTTCAGAGAGTTGCAGTTTATTTACATGATAATTAGAAAGCTTCTTAGTTTCCAACTCATCACATTTAATTAATTTCTTTCATATTATTCAACCTTAATGATGGTGTTCAATTTTACCTGTAACGTATCTTTTACAATGCCATTTAAAACTTATTTTACTTCATGTGTATGTCAGTACACCACCACATGCCCGGTTCCTGCAGAGGCTAGAAGATGATCCTCTAGAATTAGAGTTACAGCTAGAATTAGAGTTACAGCTGTGAACTGCCATGTGGGTGCTGGGAATCAAACCCAGATCTTCTGCAAGAGCCTGAAGTGCTCTTTGCTGCTAAGTCAGCTCTCCAACCCCTCCAGTGTCATGTTTTATGTGTACCATCTCTTAGTGCTTTCCGGTGGCTTGTGTCATGCCTCAATAGTTAGGGGATCTAATGCTTTGATTCATGTGACTCTTGGACATCACTGATGGGATGTCTTTTTAGATATACTGTTGTTCACAGAACTGTATTCTGGAGCCCCACAATGGAGCTATGATAGGTCACAAGAAGATGAATATGATAAGTTCTGTTTAGCAGAGCCTTGATTATTTTTTCCAGTTAAAGATCACACATACTGTAAATATCAAAGAGATGTTTAGAAATATATTTTTCTTATGTATCATTGTCTTAGGGTTTTATTGCTGTGATGAAACACCATGACCATGGCAGCTCTTATAAAGGAAAACATTTAATTGGGCTGGCTTATAGTTCAGAGGTTCAGTCCACTGTCATCACATGGCAGGAAACCCGGCGGTGCACAGGCAGACCATGCTGGAGAAGGAGTCGAGAGTTCTAGGCAGCAGGAAGAGTCAGTGACATTTGAGCATCTGATACACTTCTTCCAACAAGGCCACGCCTCCTAAAAGTGCCACTCCCTATGAGCCTCTGGGGACCATTTTCATTCAAACTACCACAATTATGAAAATTGAAAATTTGAAACTAGTATGAAAATAAACTCTTAGGTAGGGCATAGTGGCACATGCCTTTAATCTCAGCACTTGGGAGACAGAGGCAGGTGGATCTATATGAGGCTGAGGCTAGCCTGGTCTACATAGTGAGCACCAGACCAGCCAAGGATGCATAGTGAGACACTGTCTCAAACAAACAAACACACAACAACAAAACCCTCAAAAACCTTTCTTATTAGAAGTAAAATAAATTAATAAATATTTCACACTAATGAATGGAAGTTGAATATTCTGAGTTTGACAAATGATTCTCAAATTGATATGTGTTAAATGAAATTCAGACAAATTGTAAGCACTTTTCTGAGGAACTTATCACCTTATTCTAAGGTATTTTATGGGAATGTAAAAGGAGTTTCTGCTAGAGTCACATGCAGACAGGATTTGAGACAGCCCCTGAGAGCTCACACTGGCCCCTGAAAATCTGCATATTTCTTTGTGCTTCTATGTCTATACATGTCTGTACAATATGGCAGCCTCTCCTTTCACCCCTCAGAGCACACAGCTTGCTGATTTCTTGCCATTTCAGTGTTTTAGAGACCTATCAGATGCACCAGCCAACCCACTTTCCCTTGTCATCCGAGAAAGACCATGTCAATCATGAGTCTCAAGTGGAAATATGGGGGTGGTGGCATCCATTGCCTCAGGGCTCCTGATGAAGCACAACAGTTCCACTTCAGTGGCCTGCCCCACAGGCATAAGGAGCCCGTCTGTGTGTGCGATGAAGCTATTAGAAGCCTCTGTAGTGTGGATCACACTGAGAACATGTAAGTGAAAAGAGTAGGAAGAAGCAAACACAAGATGGTCTGTCCATCTGGACCAGTCAGGCAAAACTTGTATTTGTGTATTGACGGAAATGAGAAGTGGAGCTAAACAGACACAGATAAGGGTCACTGCTGCGTTTGCTGAAGTCGCTTCATTACACGCAGCAAGAGAGACACAGGTGGGCCACTCTGCTTTAGTTAAATAACAGCTGCATTGACTCTGTCAGTCTGCGGCTTAGGGTACAGATGCACACAGAAACACAGCATTGACTCTGTCAGTCTGCGGCTTAGGGTATGCATGCACATGGAGACACAGCATTGACTCTGTCAGCTTGCGGCTTAGGGTACGGATGCACACGGAGACACAGCATTGACTCTGTCAGCTTGCGGCTTAGGGTACAGATGCACACGGAGACACAGCATTGACTCTGTCAGTCTGAGGCTTAGGGTACGGATGCACACGGAGACACAGCATTGACTCTGTCAGTCTGCGGCTTAGGGTCCGGATGCACACGGAGACACAGCATTGACTCTGTCAGTCTGCGGCTTAGGGTCCGGATGCACACGGAGACACAGCATTGACTCTGTCAGTCTACGGCTTAGGGTCCAGATGCACACGGAAACAACAGGTTCAGTGCCTACCCATCAGTACAGTAATGGGCATTTGGTGACAGTGACTTTGATTGTGGGGATCACTAACCTAAGAGGTTTATACCTACCTACCAGGGCACAGTCTTGCCACTGTCATCAGTCTTGTGGACAATACCATTATCCCATGGACTCACCTGTCCAAAGTAAGAGTCAGGAGCTGAATGCCAAATCCTGTTAATTAGATGAGCACAAAACTCAGCCACAGATCACCTGAGGGCCTAGGGTGTGGTGTGGCATTCTGAGGATGGCTGTGGACAAGACTTCACATAATTTTGGTTGCCATGCATTATGACTCCAGGGAAGGGCTACATAGTAAGCTGTGCTGATCACTCGTTGACCTCCTGTATGTGGGTGGGCTGCTCACCAGGTCTGTTGTGCCCCCAGAGAGATGTGTGGTTTTTGCTCTGCTGGGTGGAAGACAGAGAAACCCCAGCTTGAAAACCAATGCAGTTGTGGACTCAACCCATCACCAGCTTCCCAAAGTGGTGGGACCCCGCTCACACTGCACTCCCGTTCAGTATATGTAGCTGTGCTCCACCAAATGAAATATCAGTTCTCAACACCTGACACCCTATTCTAGGTCACGGCCTTGATGATCAGAAGTCCGGGTTCCAAGCCCAGGCAGCCCCACAGGTCAGGAGGGGTGAGGTGGGTTGGGAGAGGCTCCTGGCCACAGACACTGGTCAAATCTGGGCTTCTTTGTCCCCTTTCCCTCCTGCACATGAACACTCATGGGCCACTGGCTCAGGCTAGCCCCACCATGCACTAAACGTAGGATGAGATGTCCATGCTGTGGTGTTGCATGTAACGGAGGACACGAGTTTCCAAAGCAGAGTGAGGTCGTGGCACGGCTCAGGGCTCTGTGGGGCGGCACAGGGCATGCCAGCGCTTCACCAGCTCCTTGGGCCTCCGGAGCATCTCGTCCCAGTGCTCCAGCTCTCTGCCTCGGGTGTACATGTAGGGGCCCACCACCACACGGCCCAGTGGGTAGCTCTCTGCAGAGGAGGGAAAGCGCCGTCATGTTCTTAAACACAGGAGCCATGTCACCCTCATCCTAATCTCTGCACTGACCTCTCTCTGGTTTCCCATTCCCTCTTTGGAAGGAGGTGGCCAGCTGCTCCTCTTTAAGCATGTGCCACCGGCCCTGTTTCCTCCCCTTGGGAACGTGGAGGAGGAGACCAGGGGAGAACTTGCATGGCAGCCCTGTCCTTCACTGCCTGGCCCCCGCCCCAGGCCACGGGAAACCTGAGGCACGCTGAATTGCTAGGAGAGAAAGTACTTTGCAGAAGGAAGGCCTCTTCCATTGCTTCCTTGTACACCGGGCAAGAGCATCAGGCAGTAATGTCCACCCATCAATGGCCACTGCGGAGAAGGCCCCAATCCAGCCCGTGTGAACAGTCATGGCCCAGTGACTTTGCTTCAGTAGTCAGTGACAGTGAATACTAGGGCAGGACACTTGGCTAGGACACCCATCCAGGGCCTTAAATGCTCGTCTAGAAGGCACGAAGAAATGCTGAGAACACAACACCCAGCACAGGAAACCAACTGCCTGACATCTCTGAGAATTTACTCAGAATGAGGAAGAGGAGACTATCCATCAGAGGGCACCACAGACAGAGTCCAAGTGGACTAAAGCTGGGTATGAGCCCCAGGCTTCCGGAGGGCAAGCTCTGTGGCCTTGGGCAAGTATCTCAGCCTCTCTGAGAGCTGGTTTCTCTAATCAGAAACAGGGACAGCTCCACTTGAGGACAGCCCTTCACTCAGCCTACAACTCAGTAGCCCTAGCTTTGCGTTGCTCCAACCCCATATCCCCTGCCTCCCCTTCCCGAGCCTTACTGTCCCCTTCTGTGATCTGCAGCACCGTCAGGCTGAGGCTGGCAGTGTCCAGCTCACTGGGGTCAGCCTTGAAGCTGAAGGTTTCATTGTACACAGGGTTGACAGAGCCCAGGACGGCAGAAGTCCTCTTGCACTTGACGAATTTGTTGTGATTCATCAGAGACACTTTGACAAACACACCTGTTGGGGGCAGCGCACGATGCTAGTGGGCAGAAGCAGGCACAAGCCCCGCCCCTAAAATAGGATCTCTGGCTAGGAGGGCCTGTGCCCCCTCCCTGAGGACCAGGTCCCCATCACTTTCTGGTCCCCAGCTGCTGAGGCCAGAGGATGTGACAGAAGGAAACAGTTAATTAGTGCAATGCTTTACAATCCAGGGAAACCTGGCTTCCTTTTCCTTCCTCTGACTCGGGAGGCACCTGTGCTCAGCTGGCCCTGTTTACTGGAACCTGGCACCATAGCCCAGCCTCCCTGCTGGCAAGACATTGCCTGCTGGACACTCAGGCTTTGAGCCTCCTCCAACCCCTGCTCATCCAGAAGCTTGGGGGTGGGGTGCGGATGAGTTCAAACTCTCTGAAGTCCCTGCAGGTAGAAGACAACTTCCTCCTAGCTGGGGGTCATAAGAT